CCTGCTACCCCATTCCCATTACCCCTCCTTTCTATCCTATTTTCACCACCTCCTGTGGATAATCAGTTCCTTTAGTTTCTGATTTATTGTCCTTGTGTTTCTTTTGCACAAATGAGCAGATATATGTATATCACCCTTTTTCTTACATAAAGGTAGCATACTTAACTACATTTTTGCTTATCACTTAACAGTATGTTCTGGAAATCACTCCATATCAATTTGTAGAGACTTTTCTCATTCCTTTTTACTGCTGAATAATAATTCTTTTAAAAGAGCTACCTGTTCTAAACTAAATATAGCAAAATGCTGTAATGAAATAGTATTCTGTTTTAGTTTAGATCTTCTGGGCATGCAGATTATCTGGTAATCAGTTTAGTTGGCAAAATTTTTTTTTTTGCGATTTGCGGGCCGCTCACTGTTGTGGCCTCTCCCGTTGCAGAGCACAGGCTCCGGACGCGCAGGCTCAGCGGCCATGGCTCACGGGCCCAGCCGCTCCGCAGCATGTGGGATCTTCCTGGACCGGGGCACGAACCCGTGTCCCCTGCATCGGCAGGCGGACTCTCAACCACTGCACCACCAGGGAAGCCCAGCTGGCAAAATTTTTAAAAGCAAATATCACAATGTACATTAGTATAAATACTAAGAGTAATAATAATCCAGCTGCTGTTTTTTTCCTTTTGGATTGGGAATGGCATGCAGCAGGTACATCACAGCTTTTGATAGGCCCCCACTGAGAATAAATCCTGATGGAAACTGCTTACAGTATATTATGGAGTGGTCATCATAGGTAGGCATTGAGAGTAGGAGCAGCAGGAGTTACCAGGAAGGTAATACAAATATATTTTTTAAAGTCTTTATCTCTTAAGTCCCAAAGTACTGAATATAACAAAAGGGGACATTTTAAATAGTAAAAGCCCTATGTATGTAATAGTTATGATATTTATGTACCAAATAGCAGAACAACTACTTTTATGAAGCAAAAACTACAGGAGATACATGGAGACAGATAGGAACACACTAATAAGTTTTAATATACTCAGTATAAAACAAATAAAGTGGACAAAAAATAAGTAAGGAGATGGAAGGTCTAAACAACATAATGAATAGGGTAAATCTTATGTATACATACCAAACTCCACACTCTGATAAGAGAGAATACATATTCCTCTCAAGTGTTCATGGCACAATTACAAAAGCATATCCACACCATGCTATGAAAAACATATACCATGACTGAGTAAGGTTTATTCCAGGAATGCAAGGTTGGTTCAGTATTAGAAAACCTATCCTCATATACCATATTAATAAACCTAAGAAACTAAAGCATATGGTTTTTTCATAGATGCCGAAAAAAGCCTTCGACGAAATTCAACCGTCACTCATGATTAAAACACTCGATAGACATTGAGGGATACTTTCTTATAATGATAAATTGTATATACATACCTTAATCCTAAAGGCAGTATCTTGTTTAATGAGGAGACAATGGAGGTGTTTCCATTTAAATTAGGAACAAGGCAAGAATGCCCACTGTTTCTGCTACTATTCAACAAGGGATTGATGAACTCAGTTCAAAATGGTGGTTTCTTCTTGGGAGATGAGAGAACTGTGATCTCGTCTCACAAAAAGGAGCACACTGGAAAGGGGCACACTGGAGGCTTGTGAGGTGTGGTAAGAGTTTATTTTTTAACCTGGGTGTAGGTGTATCAGCATTTATTTGAGTTTTTAAATTGTACATTTTGGGCTTCCCTGGTGGCGCAGTGGTTGAGAGTCCACCTGCTGATGCAGGGGACACGGGTTTGTGCCCCGGTCCGAGAAGATGCCACCTGCCGCAGAGCAGCTGGGCCCGTGAGCCATGGCCGCTGAGCCTGTGCGTCCGGAGCCTGTGCTCCGCAACCGGAGAGGCCACAACGGTGAGAGGCCCGCATACAAAAAAAAAAAAAAATTGTACATTTTTATATATTCTTATATGTATGCTAAAGTTCATAATAAAAAGGAAATATATAGTAAATCATGAAATGTGTAAAATCTATGTTGATTAATTTCTCTTAAACCTTGTTTATAATTCCCATTATCATAGAGTATTTTAAATATATGACAAAGCTTTGTGGTTTGAGGAAACTGCTTTCTACTGCTATGATGCAGCAATTTTCCTCTCCATACTTTGCAGCAAAAGCATTAGCTTTAGGTTATTATTATTGTTAATCTTCCTTTTTTTCCTACTTTGCAGGAAGATGAGAAGATGAGTGAATTTATACATTCTGGTTTTTCTGAATTCTCAAACCATAACAAGTCAAAACAAGGATATAACTAAGATCAAGAAGATGAAACGTATGACAAAAAGTTTTGGGGTTTTTTTTCTTTTTCATTTTCTGCCTTTTCATGGAGTGTTTATTCTTATGTATAGATAATATGCATAAAATAGCTATTTTGTAATACTAACCTTTTAAAATTATTTTGGTCATCCTATAACATCTTCCTGCTCATTTAAGCTCCTTTCAACCAAACAACCTTTAACTAAACAATAGCTATTAGCCTTTTAACCAAATAAAATGTATTATAAATACTTTTTTATTGGTTACCTTGTTGTACACCAAGCTATCTTGTTTTGTTTTGTTTTTAAAACCATTCAGTAAATGTGAACACCTGTAAGATTTTAAAAGTCACCTTCTGCCCTGGCCAGTTGTCTTTCACCCTTCGTTCTTCAACTTTCAAAATTACTTCTTCAATTGCAGCTTCTGTATTACTTCCATTATATGTAATCTGATGACTTGGCTGAGGGGTTAACCTCTCAGGCTCTTTTGAATTTGGTTTTTATAACTTTAAGTAGTAAGTCCTATTCCTATCTGAGATTAATGAACATAGCTTACTGTATTCAGATGACTAGTCAAATTCTATTCTGCCTATATGGAAAAGTTTTCTTAGACAATATCTGACAACGAAAAGGGTGGGCCCAGAAATCTGCATTTTTAACAAACACCACAGATAATTCTGGGGCAGATTGTCCTAGGACCAAACTTTGAGAAACTGCTGTAGGACTACAGAGTCCCACAGAACTTACTCATTATCAACAGTGTTGGCTGAATGGAGGCTAGAGGCTTTATTAAAGGAACATTTTACACAGTGGTTAAGAGCTTGGCATCCTGACAGTCTGTTCCTTTCCTGTACTCCTATTACTTTAAGGCTTCAGACCTCCTAGAGTCATTCTCTGGTATTATGTTTCCTATTGTTTAGTTCTATTTTTTTCTCTTTTCCATGAGGTTTGTCTTTTCTTTTTTTCTGTTCCCATGCAAATTATTTTTCATTGTATGTATCACACTTACAAACCTTTTCTTTTATTGTTGGCGGAATTTAGTCACAGCAAGAAACAAATTTCCTATTCCCATATTATAAAGACATTTACCCATGGTTTCATTTTGTTTTTATATTTAAATTTCTGATTCATGTGGATTTTGTTTCATGGTGTGAGATAGGAATGCAATTTTGACCTTTTTCCAAATGATTCCCCATTAATTAAAAAGTCCATGTTTTCCACTACTGATTTGAAGTGCCACCTTTTTCAATGTTGTATTTCCATGTACTCTTAAATTTATTTCTCAATTTTCTGTTCCCTTTACTTGTCTGTGTTTCTTTTGATGCCCCACTACCATCCTCTTTAAATTATAGAGACTTTGTGGGAGTTTCAACGTTTTCTTCATGGATGTTTTCCACATTTCTTGATGCCTAGGCATTCTCTCTTTTTTCCTGGTAATATAAATGGGAAATAAACTCTGTTATTGTTTGAAGTATTTTCTAGATCTATCTCCTGAAAGCCAAGCTATCTTTACTCCCTTTTTCTCCCCAATTCTTAATGCCTCTTGTTGCTTTCTCTTGTCTAATTGCATGGCTGCTACCTTATGTTAAATGTTAAATAGCAGTGACAATAGTGGGTATCCTTGTCTTGTTCCTGATTTTCATGGGAGTGCCTCTGGTTTTATCCCATTAAGTAAGATGCTGTGGTTTCAGCTGGTTATGTGTGTTTATAATCACATTAAACTATTATCTATTGATTATTATTTTATTGAGTGCTTTTTAAAAAAATTACGAATGAATGTTGAATTTTGTCTAGTGACTTCTGGCGCTGATGGAGACTATTAGTTAGGGTCCAGCCAAGAGATTAAAAACCACAGATATACTGGGCTTCCCTGATGGCACAGTGGTTGAGAGTCTGCCTGCCGATGCAGGGGACGCGGGTTCGTGCCCCGGTCTGGGAAGATCCCACATGCCGTGGAGTGGCTGGGCCCGTGAGCCATGGCCGCTGAGCCTGCGCGTCCGGAGCCTGTGCTCTGCAACGGGAGAGGCCACAGCAGTGGGGGGCCCACGTACCACAAAAAAAAAAAAGCCCACAGATATAAATTGTTAACCATATTCTAGAGAATTGAACAAGAACTGAAAAGGCAAAAGGGACTAGGGGAGTATCATAGGGGAAGTAACTATGGGAAGCACCCACCATCTCTGGGGCTGAGGGAACACAGAGAGAAGGATGGAAGTATTGAAACTTAAAGGCTTAGAGGAAGACTTTAAGGAAGACTTTAAAGGCTTAGAGGACTCTAGGTGGAGGGTGTGCAACTGGTTGGTGCTGTTTCCCTGAAGGGCTACACAAGACTGGTCCGATAATGTGGAAAAGCTGCGAATTGGAGCCAGCTATGGCTGCTGAAGTCAGTTGTTCCCGCCGCGTGAACCACTCTGTGGTGACCCTGACAGGAACAGGAAGCAAACAGGAACAGCAAATGTCTCTCTCCTCCATCCTTCCAGTTCCCCTCTATCACCTATCGCCAGAGACTGGAAGGGAACCTGGCAAAGGAGAAATGTGGTTTGCCAAGGCTTAGCCTTAAAGTGGAGTAGAGAAGTGTGGATTTGAAGTCAAAACATAATAGCTTAATATGAATCAGCACAAAAAAGATATATGATTATCCTCCTTTGATATATTCACATAGTGAACTATATTCATTAATTTGTTGATCCTGAAACAAATTCTTGCTCTCGTGGAATAAACCCCACTTTTTAATGTGTGCCAGCTCTTGTCTCAACTCTAAGCCCATCTCTCTATACTTTGCTGTGTGATGCCAGAACTCTGCAAATCACATTTCTTCTTTGCTAGCTTACTTTTAAGCTTCTGTCAGTAGGGGATGACAGAAGGAGATGGAAAGTCATTTGAAATCTGAGTGCCCACTGACCCCCGGAAGCCCTTTTCCTACATCCTGAGGTATTAACAGCAGCTGAGCAGTGCCCTCCCCTCAGAGGTCTCCTCTTAAGTTTCCAAGTTCTAATAATCCCAGCCTCTTCCTTTTTTCCCCGGGGAGGTTCCTATTCATTGCTGGAGGAAATGCAAAATGATACAACATTTATAGAAAAGGTTTTGACAATATCTAGCAAAATTATTCAATACATATGCGTATAAAATCATTTGATGCAGCAATCCCACTTTTAGGAAACTACCAAAAATTCTCTTGAAAAGAATACAAAAATTTCACTATGGTATGGTTTGTAATAACAACAAAAAAGGAACAACATAAGTAGCAATAGGGAGCAGCTAACTTGAAAAACAAGTGAAAATGAAAACTATCAAGATGGTGACAAACACAGAGATAACTGACCTTAGAAAAAGAATTTTAAATGTGTATCTTTATGAGGGTATACTCTAAGAATATAAGAACTGCAAAGAAATCTTAAACTTTTATTCACTAACCTTATTGCGGCCATAGTATTGATGTGGTTGTTTTGAAATCGATCTAAGGACAAGATAAAGCAATTATGTTGAAGTTTTAGAACCAAGATTTTTGGCATAAGCGAAAAGAGATACAATTGTAAAACCCAAGATGGTTAAAAAAAATTGAACCTGAATTAAATCAAGCCTTTAGATCCATAAGCAGGGTACAAGAAGTCAGTAGCATGGAGGAACAAAGAACACCAGGGAGAAGCAACTAGTCATATTCAAAATGTGGTTCATTCTATAGGACAACTGACCTAGGTTTCTTCTTCAAAGTGTTGATAGCTTTAGAAAGGAGGAGTGGATGAGGAGACTATTCTAGATTTTAAAAGACTGAAGAGACAATAAGGACGTACATTAAGTAGAAATCAAAGCCATTTTTTTAAGACACTGGGAAATTTGAAGATACTAAAATACTCATTTTGTTATATTTGATAATGGCATTTTCCTTTGTAAGAACAAAAATTTTAATGTATACTGAAGTATTTAGGGGTAAAATAATGTGCTTGACATTGGCTTTAAAATACTCCAGAAGAGACATGGGAGTGTGGCAAAATGTTGCGAATTTTCAAAGCTCAGTGAGTCAGGTGTATGGGGATGCTAGTTGTACTCTTTTATGTACAAATTTTAGAAATTTTCACAATAATGTATACGTTTACATAAATGAGATGGTAAATGTTCTAGGTATGTTAAGAGAAGTCTGGAAAAGTGTGTGAGTCCATCTGAGCTTTTAAAAGGTGTTACAGTGCAGATTTCAAAAATGTAAAAATAGACCCAGAAAGTTAACAGTGGTAAGTTCTAAGTTGTGGACACAGGTGACTTCTTTTTATGCTTTTCAGTATTTTCCAAGTTTTATTTTTAAAAAGTTTTTCGAGATGTTTTACATCACTATTGACACTCATCAGATAAACTTTATAGTGATTTACTGGATAAACTGAATAACGATAAAACTTTAAAAAATTGTTTATATCAAGGTAGCTCTTGATATAAAAAACTGGAATAATTGTAAAACTGTGAGGTAAAGTTGTAAAACCATCCATTGTCCTTAAGTTTCTTTCCTGCAAAGCTGGAATGAATGTGATTGTTTATCAATTGTTAAAAGTACAGGATGAGGCAGGCGTGGTGGCAGGAAAGGTACCAAAAAAAACCCCTACTGTTCCCGGACTTCAAATCTAGCTGGAAAGCCATTAAAATATGTACTAATATAAGAGACCGAAGAGAGTCACAGGACCCGCCCTACCTGCTAAGAGGCGGGGGAGTGGGGCGCAGACGCCCACCGCCACAGGCGAGGGAACGAGGGTCTCGGCCAATGGTCGCAGGCCGGAGGGAGCGCGGCGGTGACGTCCTGATATCCGGGGGAGAGCTTTCCTGGCCGGGCGCTCACCGCACTTTGGATCTTAATTGGGACTTTATCCTTCGGCGGTGGCTGGACTTTAGGCCTCTGCAGCCCGGTCTGCGTCGTCGTGTCGGGTCCCAGGTGCCGGCGACTCTTCCTCGGGATCCTCGGACCGCGGGCCTGCGCGGTGGGACCGCGGGACGCCACCATGGACGGGACGACAGAGCTGCTCTTCTACGTGAACGGCCGCAAGGTGAGCGCGCCCCGGGGCTGCACGCGGGTTTGCCTGCGCGTCGGGGCAGGGAAAGGATGCGTCTTCAGGGGCTGCCTGGATCTTTGGGTCCCGCCTTCCTTATGTTCCTTTCTCCTCTCCTTCCAAGACGCACAGTATCAACCGCACCCCACCCCATAAACAGGATGAGAAATGACTGTCCTTATTCGGCAGAGTCAGCACTCCCAAATCCTCCCTCCGTCAAACCCACCCCCAAACGGGAACGTCTTTCATTAGGCCTCAGCTCTTGGGTGTGTTTGGATGAGCAGAGAGCGGTTTGGAGTCAGGACAGGCCCACAGAGATGAATTCATTGAGACCTCTCACTCCCATCGTTTCCAAAGTCACAGCTAGTTCCTGGCAGCGCTGAGCCGATACCCTCCTCTGGGGACTCGAAGGTCCTTAGTGGGTCCACTGCTGGCGCGGCAGCTGCCCTCTCAGAAGCCGTGCTGGCTCTGCAGATCCTCTGGGGCAGTTCCAGCGATTGTCCGATGTTTAGAGGCAGCAAAGCGCCCGGGGATCCTTTAAAACACTCCCACGGACGTGACCATGGATTGCTCGCTCTGTCCCAGTATATTGCCGCCACTTTGCAAGGGGGAAACCGAGGCAGGAGTGTTAAAGGGCTTCCTTAAGAGCAGACAAGGGAGCAAGGGCCGTGATAGCGGCCTTTCCATGCGCCAGCGCCTTCAGAGCCCCCCTGTGATCCCTGCTTCTGGCCCGGGATAGGCCGACTTTCCCTGACTGGCACAGGGACTCACCAGAAAGCTAAGGAAGGTCAAGCATTAGGGCCTCTCACTTGTGAAGCCTCTTCTAAAGCCCTGAGCCTAATTTCAAATTTGGATTTTGTATTATTTTTCTTAAAGAGGATTCCCTCCCCCAAACTGTGCAAGTTCTAGGCCCTATAAAATCTTCCTCTCTTCCTGCTGCCTGGATTCCACCCTGGGTAAGATGAGCTTGTTTTTCCTGAACTGTGTTGGGGGCCGTTAGGACCCCCTCGTAGGACTGCTATGAGCGTGAACCATGATAAGGGCGAGGATGGCAGATGGGAGTTGGGTTTGAAGTGATCACGTGATGTCATTTTTTTTTTCTTTTGCATAACTGAATGGTATAGTAGACACAGCTCTGGCCTTTATATTTGGACAAACGAGTATTCATTTCCAGCTCCAGTTCTTATGGAGACAACCTAACCTAGCCTCAGTTCCTCTGTTAAAGAGAGAGAATACTGCCTACTTCACAAAGAGTGATGGTGAGTTTTTAATCCGTTTATTTAAGGGCCTGCTATATGCCAGTGTTCCAGTGACCTCAGAGGACACAACAGAGCACAGAAATGACCAAGTCCCTGTCTGCATGGAGTTTATGTTGTGCTGGGTAGACAGACGACAAGCATATAAATAAATAGAAATGTATCAAGCCAGGCAGTGATAAATGCCAGGATAAAAAATAAAGCAGAGTGAGGGGCCGGAGAATGGCGAGAGCTGGTTCTTCAGGCGGGATGGATGTTTAAGACTTTCTGAGAGGCTGACATTTGAGTGGTGGCCAGTATGAAGTGAGGAACAGACATCTGAGGGAAAAGCATTCCAGACCAAGGGAGCAGAGGTGCAAAGATCCTCAGACACGAGGATTTCTTCGTGCTCGGGCGGGGGTGGGGGGTGGGGGTGGGGGGTTAGCAAGGAGGCCGGTGGGGCTGGAGATGTGGCCAGGGGCTTTGGAGGAGATGGTAAGGGTTTTGGTTAAAGGAGGAAACAGGTGTTTGAGTCTAGCTTCTTCTCCCGCTTCTCCCTCCCCTGCTCCCAAACAAACTGTAGTGGAACTTTTAACAGAATGGCTAATAATAGTTTGTGCTCTGTTGATTTTTTTTTTTTTTTTGCGGTACACGGGCCTCTCACGGTTGTTGCCTCTCCCGTTGCGGAGCACAGGCTCCGGACGCGCAGGCTCAGCAGCCATGGCTCACCGGCCCAGCCGCTCCGCTGCATGTGGGATCCTCCCGCACCGGGGCACGAACCCGCGTCCCCTGCATCAGCAGGCAGACTCTCAACCACTGCGCTACCAGGGGAGCCCGTGCTCTGTTGATTTTTAAAAATAGATAAGCTGGTTCTTATCTATGGGCTTGTTTTATCTATGGGCCAAAAGTCCTGTGATCATTTGGAAAGTGCTTGCTAGAAATATTGACTTAGTTTTTGCAATTACCCTGTTAAAAGAAATTATGTCACCCCTTCCCTTTCCTGCCCCACCCTTCCAAATTCTGTTAGGTGTGTGCGTCAATCCCAGCAAGCAAGCCTGATTGCCACATGGATAGAATTAGAATAAAACCTCTGGTTCAGAGGGCTAGTGGATGTCGAGAA